GGCGTTATTTCCCTATAACAAAAACCCTCCAAAAAAAAAAAAAAAAAAAAAAAAGAATGAGAACATTTGGACATTACTAATTTAGACAAATTTCTTGTCTACTCTCCAGAGGATTTTCATTTCTGGTCTTTGGAATCACCTCAATATATCATTTATATCTACTATCCCTGTCATCTTGATTAATTCACACACCTACAAAGTATTTATTGACTACCATCACGTACCAAGCATTGTCCTTGCCACTTGACCAGCACAACAGTCAAAGGCAACCACCCTTGTAGAGCTCACATTCTGTCAGAAGGAATCAATTAAAAAATGTGTGGGCTGGGCCTCGTGGCTTACTGGTTGGGAGAGTCAGATCCCACATGGCCAACCATGTGTTCAAGTCTCAGCCTGGCAGCTTGAGGAACATGCCGGGTATAATGGATACATACCCGAAGTCCCAACGGGATGGGCTTGGAAGAGAAGGGATTGCAGTGTGATCGCACCCCATCATGGGGTGCCTTCTCCTTCTCCCCTCTCTGTCTCTCTCTGGCAGGCAAACATGCGTTCTGGCAAAATTAAAAATAAGGGCATGTGACAAATAAATGAATTATGTGCATGGTATCTTACAGGGTGAAAAGGGCTATAGACAAAACCTCCCAGAAAATAAAGAAAAAATGAAAGGAAAAAAAAAGGAAAAAAACATGGTAAAAGGAGAAGTGAGTGGAGGAGAAGTGTGAGTTGAAGATTTAAATAGAAGGGTCAGGTCGGGCCTTCTCAAGAAAGTGGCATTTGAGCAAAGAGTGGAAGGAAGTGGGGGAATGGGCCATGCGGACATCTAAATGAAAGTTTTCCATTCAATCTTTGTGAATTAGAAGGGGGATGGCAAAGATACACACCAGAATTCTGAACAGAGGAAGATAATAACAAATGATCTGTTGCAGCTGCACTGCTTGACCTGTGTTTAGTCTGGTTTAATACTAAGGTTTCTCTAGAGAACACATCCTACCCAGATCAGAAAGGCCGGCTTAGAAATTCACAGTGGTCCTGCAGTTAGGGTTGTATAACCATCTGTAAAATATTCTCAGATATTCTTAAGTTGGAACGAAGAATGTTTAGATAAATTGTAAATAAAGGACAAATAAAACGTGAAGGAGATTGAGTTGGTCTTTGAAATGACATTAAAATTAGCTATGCCTTTCAATTGGAAAGGATACTACAGAAAAAAATTGGCTTTAGAGAAACCTTCTATTGTCATTGGAGCCAATGAGTGAGTTAACATTAGTTTAATATCTTCTTTGATTTTTTATCATATAAATAGGGTTATGATGATCTTATCGAAACTCCTTCATTAAGTAATGAGGTTTGCCCAAACAGAGTACTGATTGATTCACATGTATTCAATGCGATAATTAGGAAAACAATATTATAATAATGTTGTAACAATAGTTGGAACATTTAATAATGGGTTTATTTGTTCACAACCCACATTTTCAGCCTTCTTTTCCAGAACTTTCATTTAAATTGACATCTGAAGAGGAGGTCCAATCAACCAACTTATTTAGAATACTTTCAGAAAGAAGCACATTGTTATTAGTGTCAAGGGTTTTTCAAAGTAGTAATTTTCTGGCTCTAGAAAATCACTGAGTTGAAGCGAGGAACAATTAACAATAAGAATTATCAGCCTTGCAATTCACCCATGGTTTAAACTATGATGTTTGACTTCCTCCCAGGGAAACTGGCTGTGGAGTGCAGAGACAGCATTTGTATATTTGTTAATATTTACCTGGCCTTTTTTAAAAGCAAAATGAGAGCCTGTGTCCTCCTGGGTTTTTTTTTTTTTTTGCAGTGGCACGAGAAACATTTTTTGTCAGAGTGGTCCAACATGTACTGCTCCTCTGCCAACAAAATCGCTTTTAGTCTTTGATATCATTTCCAAAAACAACAACCAGAAGGCGCTGAAGGCTTTTAACCATCAAGTGATTTCTTTTATGTTGCTTTTTATCATAAACATTGAATTAAATGACTAAGTAATTGAAAGCTACCCATTGATTCAAATGGAAGAAAAGCGATTTACTCCAAAACTCCAAATTCAAAGCACGCACGTTATGAATCACGCTTCATCTCCCAGTCTCTTTGAAGCTCTACGAATCCGTGAGCAGCAACTCTGAAGGAACGGAGGAAGGTTTAACTTATCTTGAGACCCAGAGCCAGGCTCCGGTGCCTGGTTGATGCCACGAGTGCTAGTGCCAAAAGATGGAGCCAGATGGGGAGGCTTAACAAATGACGTCAGCCCTCTGCCTAGGCTGGGACAGGGACTGGAACTGTCCTTGTTCACTACATTCCAACATCTATCAACAATTTCAGGGATAAGTTTCATAAAAGCTAGATTGAGTTTTGTTGGTTGAGAGAGAGGAAAAAAAACACCACTCTCCCCAACGAGGCCTGATCATGTCACAATCCTCTTTCCTGCAATTCTGTACCCTGTTTGGAACCTGGACATGTGTACCTGGTATGTTTTTTGAAGCCTCTGGGGCCAGGATTCGAACACTGGTTTGCCACGTGGGATCTGCCTTCATCTGTGTAGCACTTAACACCTTTGGGTTGGCCTTGTTTGATTTCTATTTACTTTTACATTTAAGTGAACTTTCTAAACCACATTTAGATATAAAAGTGCCAGTGGGTGGATACAGAGTTTATTTGGGGTACTTCAGATATTATCCAGCAAAAGGTTATTAATTTAATAGAAGTATAAATGGCCTATCTTGTACCTTTGAAATAATTTCCTTTCCTGTTTATTATTAAGAAAATCACATTTGAAAATACTTTTTTTATAGTAGATTGTTGACTATATTTATTTTCACATAGAAAAGAGACAGAAATCCAAATTTTCTGAGTCTGAGGTAGGATCGTAATTATTGGACAGATTAATGGAAAAATACCAAGCAGTGATATTTCCATTCCCTTCATGCCTGATAGGATATGATCACTAGGGGTCAGCAGGTCACATAGTGGGTAAGGCACTGGACTCCCACGTGGCCAATGCCATTTGAGTCCCAGACACAGTGACTTGAAACTCATGCTGGATACATGGGTATGTGTGCCCAAAATCCTGAGAGGAGAATGGAGGACAAGGGATTGCTGCTTGGCCATCCCTCCAGAGGGTTGAATTTTCCCTCTTTCTCTCTCTCTCTGTCTCTGGTGAGTGCCTGCATCCTATAGCAAAAATCTCTCTCCCAAAAAACGATATCGTTACAATCTTTCTCTCCCCTACATGCTAGTGCGGCATCTGCTGCTCACTTAAATTCTTCAGCAATTCCAGTGTCGAGTTATCATTCTGTCTGTGGCAGTTTTCATTCATCTCCGTGGGCCTTGGGTCCAAAACAAACGAAATTGGAATCCACGACTGCGTTCATGCAGACACGCAAGTGAGCACATGCACGAGGTGGAGAGGAGGGCCTCCTCCCTCTCACTCAGATCAATATTGCATTAGCTTCCTAGGCAAAGGTCTTGCTGTTGTTCAGGAAAACTCAATACTTCTTTGTATTACAGTCGAAAAAGCCTTTCACTCTCATATCTCGAGGGCTCCTAAAGAGAGCTGCATGCTGCTGTCTGGCACAATGTCCTCAAGGACAGAGGCAGATTTACCCAGCATGTCTCAAACATTATAAACCAGTGAGTCATGGAGACTCTCTAAATTATGAGTCTGCCTTAGACAAGCTCTCTTCTGTTTGGTCTTTCAAAGAGACTCCCCTTTCTACCCTCCCCAAAGGAATTGGGTGATCATGGTGGGGAGAGGCGGGGGGGGCGGGGAAATCAGACCCTGAGCCTCAACAGCACCATCACAGTTGCCCTTGCAAGCTTACATTCTTGGGAAGACCATTGGCTGTGTTGATCAGAGAACAACCCCAAGGATTAGGGCTGCAAAAGTTTGCCCACAAACTAAAGAAAAAGATGATGAAACTACACTAACGGAATTTAAATGCAGGGGGAAAAATGGGGGAGTATGAATAGACTCTAAGCCTCCCATTTAAAATTTGCAGACCAGAAATGGGATTCTTTTTCAAGGAAAGGAAAGACCTGAGTTTATGGCTCTAGCGAGGCATTTTCATGCATATGTTATGGGCAACTTTGAGCTCTGTAGAGAAGGGAAAAGCACTGAACGGGTGGTAAGACCGCATCCAGAATGAAGAAAATCTGGCAAAGAACCAGCACTTCTTGTAGAAGAATGCCGGGATTAAAACCGAAGAGAAACAAAATATAGCAAGAGACTGAACTTCAGAGAGGCCTTCTTTGCTCTCTGGGAAGCCCAATAGAACAAAATCCTCTTCCCATGTTACAGATCTATTGTCCATGACCATGGGAAGCCCTGCCGCTAATCTGTGTCAATCCCCCTCACGTACTGGCTCATCCTCGTTTTCTTCACGATAAAAGCAGTCTATGCACGTAAGATGTGTGGTTCCTGCAGAGCGAGGAGTTGCAGTAGACAGGAAACTCTTTGAATTCAATCAAATAAATGACTTTGAATGCATAGAAAAGTTACCAGGTAGTCAAAGTAACCCGTTCTGCACTAACTCAAATGCGTGAGCCACTAGGTTTAGTTTAGTTTGTTTGGGCTTTGTTCTTTTTCATTTTCTTAGGAGGCTGAAGAAAATCTGTGAACCAGAGATCTGAGACTCTAAAACACAGGGGCTGCTCAGCGCTCAGCTGGCACTTGGGGCCCAGGAAGTGTGGCGGCTCTTGCGGGGTCCACTTTTGCAGTCGTTCTTGTAGCCCAGGTCAGCTGCCTTCGGCATCCCGGCTGGACACGCAGGCCTTGGCCATACACGTGCCTGTTGAAGGCCCAGCCCTCCAGGGAAAGGCCCACCCTCTGTGCTTCCGTGAGCGAAGCAGTAGTTCTTGGTTAGAATGCACAGAACCAGGGAGTTCTTGGAGGGGAAAACAGTCCACACCAGATTGTCCTTCTAAACCCAAACCATCTGGTACATTTTTGCCATATGTGCGATGAAAAAAAAAGAAAGAAACCTAGAGAAAAAGGGATTTTTTTTTTCCTGGAATTGCTGTTGTCAATGGAAAATAGAAATGGAAAGATTCTCCAAGTCCAGAGATGCCATGCTATTCATTCGTCAACTTAATGATTACTTACTGCTGGGCTTCATCTCAAGAGCTTCAGCAAGGTCTGTTTAAGTGAGAGAGCAATTTGACTGACAGTGAGCACATCGGTGTTTCTAGTGGTCCACGGGCTCAGGCCCCCTCTTCGCCTGGTGTGCACAATCGGCTTCTTGGGGCTATGTCTTCACCAGGGGATCTGAGTGTACTGCAGACACCTCTCAGGTCTGGGAGAAAAGACACTGACGTGGAAGTCAGAAAGACCCATTTCTGCTTCATTTTTTTAAAATAATTTCTTATGTGTAAATTAATAGCATCTGTAGCCTCTAACTTTCTAAAATGGTATAATTATTCATTCATCTTTGAATAAAGCCCTAAGGGATCATGATTCATTATCCTTTGTCAAGTCCATGATATTAATCATCCTGAGCTTCTGAGACTAAAAGATGGAGTGAGGACGGAAGTTGGGGTTACCCAGTCCTAGATCCTGTCCTGCCGCCGGGACACGCTCCTCCTCTGGGAGTTCCTCTCGAGGGAGGAGAGGTGAAGACGGGCAACTGTGTGAGACCTCAGTGACCGCGGCCTAGCCAGTGTCTGTAGGCACCGGCGTCTGTGCAGTTTTTGCCTCAGAGATGCATGCCAACGTGCCCCCTAACGGCCCAAATCTCTTTCTTTGCAATTGAAGCAAGCATTTTGATTCTGTTCCTGCAAACGAGCCTGACCACTAGGGAATGTCGTGATGCCATGACTGCCCTCGGAGCACCTCTGAAAATCCTTTCCCCAGGGATTAGCAGATGGCGTAATGGCTACAACGCTGAACTACCATGTAGTCGACCACGGTTCGAGTCCCGGACCCAGTGGCTTAAACTCACATTGGGTGCGTGTGTGTGCGTACCCAAGATCCTGAGAGGAGAATGGAGGAGAAGGGATTGTGGTGTGGCCATCCCCCCCCAGAGGGTGATTTCTCACTTTCTCTCTCTCTGTCTTTCTGGCAAACGTACATGCCCTATAGCAAAAAATCTCTCAAAAGAAAAAAAAATATCCTTTCCCCAAACAGAGGCTAATACGTTCCCTGTAAACCAATTAACTAGGGAAGGTTTGCTCTGGGTGAGAATACATCTCTGTGTTCTACTGGGACCCATGTTTGTGAATGGGTACTTGTGCATAGCCCGGGAAGAAAACATTCTGACATTCTCTGTATTTCTCCCCTTCCAGTCGGGCCTCACATCGGGCGTTACTGTGGACAGAAAACCCCAGGCCGCATTCGCTCCTCATCGGGCATCCTGTCCATGGTTTTCTACACCGACAGTGCGATAGCCAAAGAGGGCTTTTCCGCCAACTACAGCGTCTTGCAGAGCACGATCTCCGAAGGTAAGTGTTTGCTCTGCATGCAGAGCCCTGGGGTGATCCTCCTCCTTACTCCTCCTCACACCTGCGGCCACACCGAATGAATGCTACAGAAATGTTCTGTGAACTGGAGTGCCAAGTGTTTGTTTTTCTCTTTTAAATGTCTTTTTCCTATGAATATCAATAGGAAGGAATATTTGGTGTGCTTTCTCCTTAAAACTGTGGATGAGAAGCCAGTCTGAGCCTCTGAGGGTCAGAGGGAAAGTGGGAATGGCAACACAGTACCTTGAAACAATGCGATCTAGCCAGACCACCTACCTGGCGCTCTCAAACACATAATAGACTGAGGCTCCTACTGGGACAGCCACGGACCCCAGAGGACAGGAACAAATCTGTGGTGACAGCAGTAATGCAGACTGGACCTGCACGGTGGTTTGCTTGTGGAAGACCCTCGGGGAAGCCATTCTGTTTTTCTTTCTTACATGAATGAAAGTGGATATAGGAGAAGCACGTTTTGATTTCTGTTCTACCTTTCCATCAAAGGAAAAAAAGGAATATGTTTTTGTATTCTATTACTCAACTCACTCGACCCCTTCTCAAAGTTGATGTGGTTTCCAACTCTTTTAAGGGCCCAAGGAGAAAAGGAAAAAACAGAAGGAACAAAGAATAAATCGTTGATGGGTTTTATCAGTTCAGGCTGTCGGGCTGCAAAGTCATGTAGGG